TAGAAAGTAAGCAATTTTTAACCATCAATGCCATACCAACAATCCAATAATACACATTTTACAATTTCAAGAGATATAGGCTTTCTAACACAAGACTTTTTAATATGGAACATTTTTACTAAGAGATCCAAATAACTCTTGTTCTTCTGAATTAAGAAGCCAAAAATATGTAAGCCTAAACTCATATTTAGCAATAATGTCTTAGCATTATCTTATTTCCAAATGATCTAGATACATAGTTAATATTAATCATTTAATCCAGCTTAGAAAAGTTCTAGAGCTATAGTTAGTAAAAAGACTTGGAAAAGCCTTCCTAAGTAAACATATGACAAAACATAACCATTACCAAAAGTTAATTTAAAAACTTTCATCCCATCCACATCCACTCCATCTTTTCATTTTTAATAATTATACCTGGAAAATTTCATGATACTTCAGACAAATCTAGCATAATCTCAAGCTCTTTTTTATCAACCAACTTTATATTACTTCATGCCAGGCAAGTACAATGGAATAAAAAAACCTAATGTTAAATATATGTATATTTTCTGATAGCTCAAAGACACAGCCATTCTCATCAAGCAAACAATATTAGACTAGTCTTATCCACCTAAAAATTACTAAGTCATATGAACTTGAAAAGCATTTTGACTTATTTGCTTAATTTATGAGTACCCATTTTTGGAAGCTAATCTGGTACTATAGACAATATTCTAGCAGACATGTATATACACACATACACACAAAAATATAGGTAGGCACAAATAACGATCTTACAGCTTTAATTTTAAAACTTGGGCCATGAGTCAGGTAAAATCCCTTTGCTTAGAAGACACTTAGATTCAAACACTGGGAAGAACTGAAAACATGGCCTACTCACTGCACTGGCCTCACAAACTTGTTCTTTGCAGTGCCCTTACAATGAGCATCCCCATTAAACCTTACAGACTGGCAAAGCCTGACCGAGAAGCTCCTTCCTAAACCCCGGGCCAATCAGGAAAGTACCCTTCAGGGTCTGGATGGAGGGAACTGTTTGGAAAGGCTGCCTCCTCAACCTGGGGTCAAGAGGACATGTCCCCTTTGAAGTCTAGATGGAGAGACTGGCTGAGCGAGCTCCCTTACCCAAACCCATGGCTAAAAGAAGTTTCTCTTTGGGGGCCCAATAGATGGGACGTATGGGGGAAGCAATAAAGTCTCCGAGACCTCATCCAAACCATGGAAGGTATGAATTCAGGAAGACTTACCTGAAGACCTCTCCACCTTCTTTCCCCCCACCTCATGGGCCCAAAGTTATCATCATGTTTTTGGGTCTGTGTATTTACACACAAAAAATGAAATCTCAAAATACTCTACAATAACAGTGAGTATTGTTCCTTGAAATTATTTACTTAAGACAACTGAGCTCAAGGGCCTCTTGGAGGCACAAATGAGTTGGTTAAGGACTGCGCTGGGAAAAAAAATCAGGATTCCTTCCAAATTATACTTCTGACCCTCTAAATGTGAACAAATGTTCTGTGAAAAGGCATCTGAAAGACAGAGATTTTATTCCAGTGAACAATTTGCACCAGGTTTCAGTGTGAAACAAAGGTGTTTTTCAGAGAACAAAAGGAAGTCTAGGATTTTATAGTAAAGTCCCGCCTAGGGTCCCAATCAGGTACATTTATGCAAATGAAGGATTGAAACTCAGTCCTGACTGGGTGACACAGCTGCATCCTGATTGGTTCATACAACTGAGCTCTGATTAATCAATATCATTGAGTTTTGATTGGTGGATTAAGGTGAACTCTCAAAGTCCCAAAGTTAGAAAGTGTGGGCTTTCCAGGAAGTCACAGTAATTGTGTGATCACTCTGGTCAGCAAATGGCTGCTTGGCTCTATTTTAAATTCAGGCTTGGTTAGCCACTTGGGTTCCATCTTCAAGGATTGACTCTTTTTTCCATTTCACATTTGCTCACGTCACAATAGGTCTGCTGTGGTTGTAATTTCCAGTTACCTTATGACCAATGACATTAAGTATCTTCCGTTAGCCATTTGAGTATTTTGTGTGTGTGATGTGCTTGCTCCAATCCTTTACTTATTAGGTTTCCTGCATTTTATCTTTAATTTGTAGAAATTCATTGCATATTGTACACTTTGTTGGTTACATGTTGGTTGCAAACATCTTCTTTCTCTTTGGCTTTCCCCTTCACTCATTCATGGGCCCAACGTTGTAACTGTGTTTGTGTGTCTGTGTATTTACATATGAAATGGAATATCAACATGCCCTGAAATAAGAGTGAGTACTAATCTTTGAAATTTTTTTTTCTTTTCATGAGCATGTGTGTGTGTGTGTGTGTGTGTGTACATCTGAAGACCATCTTCATGCTTGATGATTCACAGACAGGACTCATAAGATCAGGAGCATGTTATACTCTCATCTGGGCTTTATTCCTCTACCAGGTTGTAGAGCAAGCGCAACAGGAAGCAGGGGTAAGTCAAGCAGTCTGGAGAGGGTAGTCATAAGCTTCTGAGTCCTTCATCACCTGGGTTGCACAGGGTATGCTCTCTCCAGTGGTGAACTATCAGCACATGTTTGAAACCACTGGCCAGGAGAAGCCTGTTTGAGTCTCAGGGTCTGCCACTATGGAATGGCTAGACACGTAGGCACATCCTGCCATGTGTCCAGCTATGGTAACCAAATTTCAGGACCCCAACAATGAGTGAGGTGCATATCATCAATCTTGACGTTTGCGCAAAATAATTGCAAGTTGTCATGTCATGGACTATTGCTCCAGGTGTCCACGACAGAATCACCAACCATGAATATAAAAAGCCTTTGGAGGGTCAGCTTTCCAAGGTCTGGCCAAAGAGCAATCATGGTTTCAGGCTCCTATGGGGATAGGCAAGGTGTGAGCAGCTGGACCTGTCATGGTAGCTCTTCCCTAAAAGGCAGCTGTATGAACATTCCTTAGTGAGAAAACCAACTCCATGAGGCAGTAGAATACTCTGCAAATTGTAAGCCCACAAATGTGCTAGGATAAATCTTTATTTGATAAAGAAACCGAAGGCTTATGTAGGAGAGGGCTTAACTCCTCCTTGATAAATAAGTGATCTCTGAAACTTGCTCAGTGCTTTTTCGCCCTTTCATTAACTTCTTGCCTAGGATTTGGGTTACACAGTCATAGAGTCATCACTCTATCTTTGGCTCATTTTATTAATTCTTGTTTTCTGAGCTCATCATTTATTTTGTAATATTCACTTTTATGAACGTGGAATTGTTTGTAATATTCTCCTTTGGGTATCCTTTTCAACTTGTGGTTCTACCATCTCATTTATTCCTATTCTGATTTGCATTTTCTTTCTTTCTTTTATGAATTGAGTACTCATCTGTTTAAACATGTTTTCGAAAACTAAGCTGTTTTTCTAAATGTGATTTCTCTCATTTTATTATTTATTAATTGCTGCTTATATTGGTTAATTCTCCCTTCCTGTTTCTTTTTTTCTTAGGAGCAGAATGGCTGGAAAAGTTTCATTTTTTCTTGTTTATAAGTGCCGAAGATTACGTTTTTTCCTATAATACAGCTGCGCTAGTCATTCACTTAAAGACACCTCTGTGAAGTATCTTCCCAGCTTGCAGCTTCTCCCCTTCCCACCTGCAAGAGTGGGCTGCTACAGGCAAGTTGAGTCAATTTAAACCTCCAGCTGTGGCCGCCAGGGTCTCTGTCTTACAAATTGGAAGGGGCTCGAAAATCTAACAAAAATTTTTCTTTATGAATGAAGATATTATATCTTCAACACTTTTATAATATCGACTGGGCCCAGGTACTGCAGTGTTATTAACTTTACATCCTTTGTAGGGCAAAGGTAGGTGAAAAATAGAGGAAAACTTTTAAAAAAGTAGGATGGTTCATTTAGCAAACTGCCTGTCAGGTTTTCTTTCAGTTGGAGGCTCAGGGAAAAGTTAGGAATAAGCTAGGCTTCCTACTTATCCTCAAGGTGCAGAATGGAGGGAAACAGACTGGCAAGTGACTGCAGAGAGTCAAAGTCCGAGGACACAAATAGTCCTGGTGGGGCACTCAGGAGAGGCTCCTAACCCAGATATGTGGGGTTATAGGCTATAGTATGTCCCCCAAAACTCATATGTTACAGCTCTAGCCCCCAGTTCCTCACAGTAGGACTGTATTTCAAAATAAGGCTTTCAGTGGGTTATTACATTAAAACGAGAACAATATGGTGGGACCTAATTCAATCTGACTGGTGTCCTTCCCAGATGAGGAAACTCGGACTTTCAAGGAGACGCCAAGGATGCAAGCACAGAGGAAAGACCGCGTGAGAACACAGGGAGAAGGTGGCCTCAGAAAAAACAAACCCTACTGGCACCTTGATCTCCAACTTCTCTGGTCTCCTAACTTCAAGAAAATACATTTTCTGTTGTTTAGGCTGCCCAGTCCGTGGTATTTTGTGATGGCAGCCAGGATAAAGTAATACATCCAGAGAGGTGGACAGCATAGGGAAAAGGCCAAGCAGGCTAAGACGCAGCGCTGACTTAAAGGGGTGAAAGGAAGACTCTTGCTTTCCTATACTACAAACATGTGAAACCATCCGCACGTGCTAAATGTCCAAAACTGAAATTCCTCATAGAGTATAAAAACGATTCTATTCTCAAAGAGCTAAACAATTTTAAACTTCTAATTTCTCTTGGCCTATTAACTCACACGCCAACCACCTATCTATATTTCACGTTTGCTAAAAGACTTTTCAGAATTAAACATAACCCCAAGTTTAAGTCCAACTTGATTAAGACATAAAAAACATAACTGCTTTCAGGTCATCGAATGTTTTCAATCTTTGTCTCAATTCTAATTTTTTTTATTTTCCCTGGGAATTATTATCCTTTGGTTTGTTTTTGGTTTGCTTGACATCATTTTTAAAAGGCATCAGTTAATGAGTAAACACAGAATAAAATATCCATGTAACTGGGCAAACACTGTTATCCTGTTAGGCAGTTACCCTTTGGCGCAGCAACAGTGCTGACGCGACTGTGGCAGGCAGAGGATGCTATCCTGAGACAGTTCACCGTAGTGCAGGAAAAGGCAATTTGGTGAATGAAAGGCGATTTCGAGGTGCCAGTCTGGGCGACACTTCCCAGTTGGAGAGTCCACAAAAGGGAGAGGGCAATTCTGAGAAGGGGGAAATGCTTGTGCACAGGTAAGTCAGTGCACAGGTGAGTCAGTGCACAGATGAGTGAGTGCACAGGTGACATAAGATACTGGAGAGGGAAGAGCCAGATCTGCGCCCTGTTCCCGCAGGAAAGCAGCTCTGCGGGATTGGAGGGGCGGGGACGCGCGGTCAGAACTGGGAGCTGAGGTCAGGGAAGGCGCCCACGGTCTGCAGGGCCTGGTCAGTCATCCAGGGGCGGTAGTGCGCCTGCACGTGCGCGATGAAGAGCCAGTTACACCGGGAAGGGACCTCTGTGTCCCTCTGTCCCTCGCGCGCGTGCATCCCGCCCCCACTCCATGCACCCGGCAGAAGCCGCAGAGGAAGTCAAACCAGGGTCGGGGACGCCAGTCACCCACAGAACGCACACGGAGCTACCTTGGGGCCGAGCGCCCAGGTCCTCATTCGGTGCGCCGCACACCTGGGGCCTCCGGGCCAAGCGTTTGCTCCCGAGCGCCTACTGTTTACCCCGCACATCTCGCGGCGAAGAGGCGAGGCCGGAAGGGCGCCCTCTCCCCGGGGCTCCTGCCTCGCCGGGGTTTCGTTTTCCCGCAGCGCTTTGCTTTCGTTTTCCCGAGGCGCTTCGCTTTCCTTTTCCCGCCGTCGTTTCGCTCCCCACCTGGGTTTCGTTTCCGAGGCGCGGCCGAGGGCGGGGTCGACCGCCCCGCGCGCCCATGGCCTTCGCCCGCCCGCTCCTGCGCGGGCGACTCTCGGGGCCGCGGGTCGGGCGGCGCGGGGTCTGCGCTGGGGCCATGGCTCCGCCGCGCCGCTTCGTCCTGGAGCTCCCCGACTGCAGCCTGGCTCACTTCGCCCTGCGCGCCGACGCCCCCGGCCCCGCGGACGCCCCCGACCCCCGCCTGGCGGCGCTGCTGGGGCCCCCGGAGCGCAGCTACTCGCTGTGCGTGCCCGTGACCCCGGGCGCCGGCTGCGGGGCGCGGGTCCGGGCGGCTCGGCTGCACCACCGCCTGCTCCACCAGCTGCGCCGCGGCCCCTTCCAGCGGTGCCAGCTGCTCAGGCTGCTCTGCTACTGCCCGGGCGGCCAGGCCGGCAGCCCGCAGCACGGCTTCCTGCTGCGCGACCCCCAGGATGACGCCGACACCCGGCGCGCGCTGCTGGAGCTTCTGGACGCCTGCCAGGAGGCCCCGCGCCCGCACCTGGGAGAGTTCGAGGCCGACCCGCCCGGCCAGCTGTGGCAGCGCCTCTGGGAGATGCGGGACGGCCGGTGCCTGCAGGTGGGCTGCGCACGCGTCGTGCCCGCCCCGGAGCCCCTGCTGCACCCGGTGGTGCCAGACCTGGCCAGTTCCGTTGTCTTCCCGGACAGGGAAGTCGCCCGGGCCGTGTTGGAGGAGGTAAGAGTTCTGGCCCTTTCCAGCGCCCAGCGTGGCCTCGGAACCCTTCAGACCAGAGAACTGGACCAAGAGGCTGACCTGTAAAGCCGGTTTTTGCCTGGGTGGTTTGTTTATTTCTGTTAACAAATCAGCTAGGGAAGGTGGCCTGTGTGTCAGGCAGCTCTCTCAAGATTCTTGTTTACAAGTCTCGCAACCTGATGCAGGACAGAGCCCAACGCCAAGCTGTGCGATGCTTTCTGTAAAAGCATCCGACAGCACTAAGGAGGGGTAAAGGGGCTGCCCGGAGGGAGGGAAGATAATGCCAGCTGGGAAGTAATTTATTTGCTTTTGATCACCATTCAAGGATCTTGGGAGTGAAAAAGAAAATGCACGAGTTTAGGAGGTTTAAGAAACTTAGACTTAAATAGTGTTTACCTACCGACAGGAGTGAACCTGGGCAGTGTACTCAATTGCTCTGTTTTCCCCTTTGGCTTGTACGATTCCCATCTCGGGGTGTTGTCCTGCTGATTAAGGAAACATCTGACTCACAGCAGGCACTCAAAGAAAGAGACTGGTCTTTCTGCTTGCAGGCTAGGCAGTTGTCCTCCTGTGACAAGGATGACCCCTGAGGATGCCCCATGGATCTTGGGAATATTTTCCAACCTTATGGCACAACGTTGTAGATCAGTTAAGAGTGCAAGATCAGCCATTCGTATTTAAATGCAAACTCTGGCATTTATTAACTGTGCCACTTCAAAGGAGTTTCTTCAACTCTCTGCCTCAGTTTCCTTAATTCATAAGATGGGAATAATAATAGTCCCCTCTCCCCCTCCCCAGAGCGATCACAGAGATTGGCTGAATACTTGTAAAGCACTTAGAAGATTGCCTTGCTCAGAGCGAGCACATAAGTAAGTGTCTGGGCCTCGCTGTGAGATGCTGTGAGCGTGCAGTGAGATAATGCACATTGAGGAAATGGGGATTCCCAGGGGGACGCTGCTCTGCTGGCTTCATGATTGCAGTGCTTGGCTCTTTTTCTCAGCCCTCTGAGAGGCTAGGAGAGGACATGCTGCAGATGCAGCCCACTGTGTAGCTGACTACCCATTCTTGTGACACAATGTTCCCAGCGGGCCTGTAGTTCCGTGTTGCTGTGTCACAGGACATTGTGATGATGTGCCTTGCCTGGCCTGTCTGGAAGCTGCTCAGTGAGGGCTGCAGGCTTCGGAGCGATCCAGACAAGGACAGCTTTTTCAAGCCTCAGCTATTCAATATAAAATAAAACACTGCAGCCCATCTTAGCTTCGAACTACTCTGAATTCCCATGGCCTGGCACGTTGCTCGGTATAACTTAGGCCTTGTTAGCATTCGGCAACCTTGTCCTCAGCAATTTAGATGTGATTTCTGTAGCAACCACTGGCTTCATTGCTGATGGACAGGCATTGTTTTACAGTGTACCTCCTTTATTCCTGAAGCCCGGGCGGTGCTTGAACTCGTCGACCAGTGCCCGAAACAGGTCCAGAAGGGAAAGTTCCAGGTTGTTGCCATCGAAGGACTGGATGCCACTGGTAAGATAATATTACCTTTTAGTTATAGGCAATGACATTAACCGATTAGATGCAGAAACAGAAATAGTTCCTGCAAAGTCAAACTTTATATGGAGCCTTATGTATGTCCCTACTGTGTGGCAGGCCCTGTGTGAGGCAGGCCCTGCAGTGCAGAGATGAGTAAGACCTTCAATGTGAAGCAGCATGAGGTGTGGATGCGGAGTGTCCATGCTCTGGTGGAACGCAAGAAGGGCACTAAATCTGGCCTCTGTTGGGGTTTGTGGCATGGAGTGCATGGTCAGGGGTGATACCTGGATTGTATTTTAAGTACAGATAGGAGTTGTCAAGTGATGAAAGCAGGAAAGGTCCTCTAGACAGAAGAAATAGCATGGGCAAAGGTGCAAGGGCTTGAACCAGGGTGGCATGTCCAGGAACCGCAGACTTGAACCAGTGGGGCATGTCCAGGAACCTCAAGAAATTCAGGGATTCTTTTGGAGCAAAATGTGGAAGAACTAGGAAATGGAAGGGAAAAAAGTCTTCTGAGCTGTCAAACGGAGCTCATAATACAATGGATGTGCTCACATTAGACCAGCACACAAAAGGGGCAGCAGTGCTGCTCCTGTGGCAGTGGAGACACCAAGGAGAGGGGTGGTCTTGGAGAACTCCAGCATCCGGTGGTTCAGCACAGGAGTTTCTCTTCCTGTGTAAACTTGAGGGGTACAGACTTTTACTTTTAACAAATAAAAGACAACTTTCATATAAAGGCTCTTGTGTACCCCACTGAGCAGACGCAGCACAGGTGATGGCCCACCTTGACCATCCTGGCTCCATTTGAATGATCGGGCCATGTCTTGGCCTTCAGGGGACCAGCTGTCATCACTCAAGTGTACTAGCTGTGCCCAGAACCAGTCACAATTTCTTTCAGCCACAGAGGGAATTGGAATACCATTAGCCCTTCAGCTGATATGTTTCGCTGATCATTTATTTTGTGCCTACAGCTAATTTAGATTTGGTGGGATTACAGGAGATATAAAAATTCAACCTCAGCACAGCATCCACACATAGAGACGTTACAGGGAGTTAGTACAGAGTGGCAGAAAGAACACAGGCTAGTGGTTCTGTTTGCCCTGCATTTGCATGCTGCCCCCAGGCCTGCCAGGAGGGTGAGTTTGGGTACATTTGTTCAATTCTCCAGTGCTCAGTTTCTTCATCTGTAAGATTATTAAATAATAACTGTTTTGCAGGGCCACTAGGAGAATTAGGAGCATAACGTGCTGAGTACTTGGATCCCAGCAGACACTGAAATGGTAGCTACTGTTAGGGCCTATCCTGACAATCCAAGAGAAAAAGAAAATAGACAGTTGGCAATAACGTGATAAGTGTGTGATAGAGAAACATATAAATACATTGAAACGGGGAGCTCCGAGAAGCTAGTGCACAGCGTGCTGGAGTAGATCATCGTCTCATCACCACCTGTCCTGAGCTGCAGGCAGCAGCTGAGAATTGTGAGGTGGGCTCTGACAAGGGGCTAATCTGTCACCCAAGGCTGTTCAAGGGGGACTCAGAAAGTCAGGGAGGCCTAAGCCGTGCCTTTGAGGAGGAAGCTGAAGCCTAAAGCAGACACAAAAGCTCTAAAGGCTGAACCCAACGGGGCAAGCACAGGAGTGAGTGGCAGAACCAAGGCTGGACATTGGAAAGGGATTACACAGAAGTGGAAGCAGGGTATGAAGAAGGCAGAAGGAGAGGTGGGGTGAGGAGAGTCGCCGTGGTTGCCAGGCTTGGGTTTGTCAACTATAGACAGAGTAAGAGGAGAGAATGTCCTCAGATTGGGGAGCATGGTAAGAGAGTCAGCAGTCGCTGGGCTGCCAGGAATAAAAGTCATACATAAAAAGGCCTCTTGTATCTGGACTCCCAACACTGGGTTTGATCCCTCACCAAAATCGCTTCCTCCAGATTTCCTAACAGCACACGGAGGAATCCTAACTCCCTGTGGGTCTATATCATTTTGTAAAGAATCCCGTTATTTAGTCTACTCCTTTGATTTGCAGGTGGAGAGAATGTCTTTGCTCCTTCTAAGTCAGCATTAACTTCTGGGCTGTGGTTGAGATGTGTGTACTTTGTGTGTGACCTGCAGGTAAAACCACGGTGACCCAGTCAGTTGCAGATTCGCTTAAGGCTGCCCTCCTAAGGTCGCCGCCCTCTTGCATTGGCCAGTGGAGGAACGTCTTTGATGATGAGCCAGCTATCATTAGAAGAGCTTTTTACTCTTTGGGCAATTATATTGTGGCCTCCGAAATAGCTAAAGAATCTGCCAAGTCTCCTGTGATTGTAGACAGGTAGGTACAAGATGCCTTGAATTAGGTATTTTCTCCCTAATATGTAAGTTTGTGTGTGTGTGTGTACATGTATATGCCATGATAAAATTGTGTTTAAGTCAAACTGTATTATGATAATAATAGGAATGCTGCTTATGAATTGTTAATTACCTACGCCAGTGCCTGGCATTTGCTAGAGAATTACATACATAATACTAGCATCTGGAATTATAATTTGAGTAGGTGAATATTAAATGTTATTCTCAGTTTACTGCTGAGAAATATAGATCTCAAAAAGGTAAGCTGGAAATAGCATTTTAGGGACATTAATGAGTAGCTAGAAATAGCATATTTGGGACAGTAATGAGTCTATACTTTCAGTTGTTTATTTGTTCGTTGGTTTATTCAACAAATACTTATTGGACAAATACTCCTGTGTGTCAAAAGTAGTCTCACGTTAGAGGATTCAATGATAAATGAGTGTATTAATCCATTTTCATGTTGTTGATAAAGACATACCTAAGACTGGACAATTTACAAAAGAAAGGTTTAATGGACTCACAGTTCCACTGGACTATAAGCCCATTAAAGTTCTTTCTTTTGTAAATTGGGGAGGCCTCAGGATCATGGTGGAAGGTAAAAGGCACGTCTCACATGGCAGCAGACAAGAGTAGAGAGCATGTGCAGAGACACTCCCCTTTTTAAAACCATCGGATCTCATGAGACCTATTCACAACCATGAAAACAGCATGGGAAAGACCTGCCTCCTTGATTTAATTACCTCCCACCAGGTCCCTCCCACAGCACATGGGAATTCAAGATAAGATTCGGGTGGTAACAGAGCCACATCATGTCAATGAGTTAGATAATTCCCTGCTTTCATGGAGCAAACTTAACATTGTAGGAGAAGAAAATTATCAAGTGAACAAATATATAAGATAATACATAAGATGAGGTGGGGTAATATCAAAGCATGATAAATGCAGGGAAGGGGAAAAATCAAGGTAATGTGCTAGAGAATGGCTAACCCCTGACTAGATATAGTTTAGGAAGGCCTGTCTGAGGCAGTGCCATTAGTCAGAGTCCTGATCTAAAATAAATAAATAAATAAATGTGAAAATTCCAGGTAACAGAAGCACTGTGGAGAGAGGAATCTGCAAGAATGAAACTAAGACTGAAATAAGCTAATGTATTTGATGACTAGAAGATGTTCTATGTTCTGGAAACATAGTAGATGAGGAGGTGATTTGTAGATGAATGGGAAGAGGAAGGTTGGGACAGCTCTGTAAGGCTTGTAGGCTGTGGCATAGAGTGGATTTTATTCTTAGTGCACTGGGGAGCCATTGGAATGTTTCTGATGGAGGAGAGACATAAACTGATTTACACCTTAAAAATTCACCTGTAAGAAACAGCTGTAGGTCAGGTGCAATGGCTCACACCTGTAATCCCAGTACTTTGGAAGGCTGAGGTGGGAAGAATGCTTGAGCCCAAGAGCTCAAGACCAGCCTTGGCAACCTAGTGAACCCTCATCTCTACAAAAAATGATGAAAAGTAGCTGGGCATGGTGGCACCCACCTGTAGTCCCAGCTACTTAGTAGAGTCAGGAAAGAGAATCCCTTGAGCCCAGGAGGTTGAGGCTGCAGTGACAGAGCAAGGGAAGGCCTTGTCTCAAAAAAAAAAAAAATCCCCAAAACCAAAATAATAAAATGAAAAGCACAAAAAAGAAAAAAGAAAAAATAAATAAATAGCTTTAAAAATGCTGTAAGAAAGGAGAAAAGACAGAACAAGCAGGTCATACTGAACTCATATCATGAGGACTCAGGAATAAGAAAATTACAGTCACTGTGAGATTCCATTTTGTTCCCATCTGGTTGGTGAAAACTGCTATAACTAAAAGTTTCCTCATATGATATGGATCAGTAGAAACTTGTATGTGATGCCGGTCAGAGCATGTCATGTGATACTGGCACAATCACTAGGAGAGCAGTTTGAGAAGATGCAGCAAGGTGGAAGATTGCTCCTGCCTGTTGCAGAAACACTCACAAAAGTTGCTTTCAGCTTCCTTTATACCTCTGCAGAATTTGAAAAACCTAAAGCCCAGCAACGGAAGAGAGCGTAAATAAATACCAGCATATTTACAAAGCGGAGAACCATACAGCAGTGTAAACACGCTGTGGAATGCATGAGGGCACACGCATTACAAAATTGTAATGTTGAATGAAAATGTCAAGTTGCCGAAATATGTTCGGCAGAATCCACCTACAGTTATCCATACTGCAAAGAGTAGAGAGGTGAAGGGATGCTGAACGGTAAGAAAGTTGTTCTCTGAGAAGCAGAGAGAAATGTGGTTGATAAGGTGTTCAGAAGGGCTTTGATTGCAATTGGGTTAACATTTCTTGAGTATTCATTTTATTCTCTCTGAAGATTTACTTATTTTTGTACAGATAAGCAATTGATTGAAGTGTGGCATATTTGGAAAAGAACAATAATGATAAATGTAAATCTCAAGGAATTTCAGGAAGTGAACAGAGTCAAGTCACCTGTACTCAGATCAAGAATGAGAGTCTGCCACAGCCCCTACACCCCTGTTCTGCCCCCACCCAGCCACTGCCCGTTTCCTCCCTAGGGGTAGCAACTATTCCAACTGCCATAGCCTTATGTTAGTTCTGCCTGTTCTTAAACTGCCTACCAGTGCAACTATTTGTGAGGTATTGAGTTCTGTTTGCACCTGACTTCTTTCATACTGTTGGAAAAACATGTGCTTTGAAAGAAGAGACCTTCCCAACAGGCTTTCTGTAAGCAACATGGCTGTTTATTCACCTGGGTGCAAGTGGGCTAAGGCCAAAAAGGACATTAGCGAAGGGCAGTGGGATAGGAGTTGGTTTTATAGGTTTGGGTAGTTTTTTGGGGGGCGGGGATGTTGCAGAGTAAGATCAGTTACAGTGGTGGGGGGTAGGGGGCAAGGAATATACATGACCACAAGTTCAGTTACAATGGCAGGGTTGGATAGAGGTATTTATGTTATCATAAGAACAGTTAAGATGGCAGGGTTGGGTGAGGGGCTTGTCCAGGGAAGCAGTCAGGGACAATGGCAAATGCAGGCAGTGGGTGGGAGACGTCAGGCGAGGCAAGCAGGACTTCAGACTCCCAGGCTCCAGGCTTGTGTGTGGAGGCCTGGCACATACCACATGTGCTTTTAAGATTTGCCTCTGTTGTTGTACACTAGCTTTTATACGGTTTTGGTGCACATGTGGATGTAATTCTGTTGCATAGATTCCCAGGAGCAGAACTGCAGGGGCATGGGTCTTGTGGCTGCTCAGGTTTGGTGGGTATTGCAAAAGTATTCTAAAGACGTTGAAAGAATGTTGAGTCTCCTCCCCTCCCCTCAGCCGTGTTTGCCAATTCCCTGTGACTACCAGCCCTGCTGACATTTAGTATTACCAGGCTTTAATTTTGACTCCTCCAGCTTTTCCACTTGTTCCTGATGGCTAAGTCTGTCACTTAAAAGCCGATTTGTCATATCTGTACACAGAACTACTACTCCTTTCTTGAAACGATATCTTTCTCTGTACACTTTTCTGTATGTCTGAAAGATTCCATCAAGAGACCACCCTGAGTGTATGTGGAGAATAAAGTGTGTGGTGGGGGAGGGGCAAGAAAGGAAACAGAATCAGCTTGAAGGCTGTTGCAGTCTAGACTGTGATGGCCCATGAGTAGTTTTAACCCTGGGATGGCAATAAGGTTGGCAGTGGGGATAACACAATAATAATTTCTTTCTTTTTCTTTTCTTCCCTTTTT